CCGAGGGGCCACATATTTGTGTACCAAATGTAAACAGATGTGGCGGGAGCATGCGTCCTCCCGGAAAGGTCCTGATTGCTGCTTGCGGTCAGGAGCTTTTCGATCATGTGACCGCCATGACAGCCAATAATGGAGGTCACATGACCCTTACCCTCACCCTGCCTCCTAGCATCACAAACCCCTTAGAGGGCCAGGAGCACCAGCACCAGGGTTAATAAATTTTAAGTACCCTTGTTCCTTGCCTGTTTTCTAAGTTGAAACATGTATTTTCTTCTCATTTCTGGCCACCCCCTTTCTGCTATATTTAGGGGAGTTTCCTGAATGTTGGAAAGCTGCCAAACACTAGCCATCCAGTGTTTTTAAGGACTTTCAATGTCGCCAATAGGGATTATGCATGCAGCTCCTTCTTTCCATTTTTCCCTAACCTGTAAAAACCTGACAGTGGTTCTGACTCCATACCATTCTGTCCAAATTTCCAAGTTATGCTTTAAGTGACCAGTCATCAGGACTGGGAGCTGTTATATGGGAGTGGTGCCTAGCATTATGTAAACAAATGCAGATATTCAGCAAATATTTATACTGATAATTGCACAGTATTTTTGTGGGGGCTGCTGCATGAACCAACGTGGTGGACAGGAACTCTTAACGGTAAGTTATGGCACCAAAAGGTGAAATTCCCATAACACTAGATAGACATAAGGACCTACATAAACGATCTGTACTATTTATATTTAACTAGGTAGGCCTTTCCACTGTATACTTTCTGGCAAATCTAAAGGAGATTGTATAATCACAGCATAACATACTGTATGTGGCCTGCTTCAATGCCACCCTAACACTCAACCCTTTCCCTGACAGATGGCTAGATAGGCAGGCAAGCAGACACATAGACGAATGATTAGACGGCAGACAATCAGACAGCTAGAGTAGTTATCAGTAGATGAACTCTTTCCCTGGCTGCTTAATGAATGACGTCAAGCAAAATGTTTAATGGAGAGAAGAAATTTACACACATTCAGAAGTTTTCAGTTTTGCAATTTAAAGACAAATCTGAAGTCTTGGTTTTAGAACCAGTTCACACCACATGCAGTCCAGTGCATTTTTTTTTTCTGCATCAAAAATGCATTGATAGTAAGTTACATGGTTTCCAATTGCATAGTTCACACCAGTGCAGCCAGTGCCAGTGCGTTCCAGTTTCAGAAAAAAAAAGAACATGCTGCATTGTTTCTGCACTGCACTGTACTGGAACGCAGTAAAACACATCAAAAGCACACCAAAACGCACCAAGAACGCTCTTGAATGCACAAGTCCTTAAGTAGAAGAAAGAGAGAAGGGGAAAAATGAACTGGAACGCAACAAAACCGCATCAAAAAACGCACAAACACATCCGGAACGCATTGCTATGTGTGAACCAGCCTTTATACACATGCACATAATAATTTTGCAGCTACAGCCCTACCATAAGTCTAGGTTCAATCAGCATTTTGCAGTGAGTTTTGCATTTTGCAGAAACGCACTACAGTCCATTTCCTATGGGACGCATTCATATCTCCACGTCTTCACCGGTGTGTTTTTTGAAAAGGGTCAGGGACTTTTTTAAACGCAAAATGTTGAGTTCTGGTTCAATAGACTTCAATGGAGACGCTGCAGTAATGCATGTAGTGCATTTTTTATGCTTTTTTGCATTTTAATCTGCCCAGCAACAAGTTGGCAAAAAAACACAAAACACATAAAAATGATCATATACGTGTCAAAAGAATGTGCAAAAACTCACACACCACAAAAAGCACTGCAGAGACAGACCAAAAGCAAACTGCATAGGTGTGAACCTAGCCCAAAGGCTGTCAGTACTCTCTATAGTATAAAATCATCAAGCTTACAAGAAAACCTTAACAGAATGTTAAAATAACCACCCTGAAAGGATCTAAAACTCATATGTAAACTAGTGCTACAAAAAAAACTGAAAAAAAGAAATTGGGAACTGCAGAATCAAAGCCTTTAAAATATTGAAAAGGAAGGAACACTGAGGGGTTGATTTACTAAAGGCGAAAAGAGTGCACTTTGAGAAGTACAGTTGCACTCTGCAAGTGCGGTTGCTCCAGAGCTTAGTAAAGGAGGTAAAGCTTCAGTTTGCAAAGAATACCAAATCACACACAAGGAAAATAAAAAAAAAAACAGTTTTGCTTGCACATGCACATGGAAGACCACCCTGTCCTTTGTTAAAATAAATGATAAAAGAAGTCTGCAATACTTTGTCCTGCAGAAAATGCTGCAGGCTGCCATACGTGAGCTTGTCAATGCATTTGGCCAGTATTCCTAGGCAAGTATTGCAAGTCTTTTGTCCATTATAATAGCAGACTGGTCATGATGAGGAGTGGTTTGGCTATCGGTCTGCTTTAATATCATTTAACATTTTTGCTTACTCCGTTCGAAAAAAGGTAGTGAAATTTAACTTTATTAACATTATTCTCAATTCATACATTTGTTTTAGTATCTGTAGCTCTTATTCTACTGCAAATCCAAAAACAGACCTGGCAGTTATGGTGAAAGTGTGTGCAGTGATGAATTTTCATAGTTATAGCCTAATTATAAGGTAAGACCTGTAGGTAAGATAACTTCTTTTTAATGTTATCTGCAGAAATAAATCAATATTATTGATGTTGAAGTAAAGGCATGTCACTGTCATGCTGATGGTTTAAATCTACATTCAAAATGGAATAACTCTAACTGGGTAGATACCAGAGGGTTAAGGAAGAAGTATGACTTCAATGTAAAAAATACTTTTTAATCCCCTTGGGGACACAGTGCACATGTATTTGGTCCTGTTCTGATTCATGTTGTGATTTGGAAATAAAAGAACATATTTTTCCTGTTTTTGCTGGCTGTAGCTCCACCCCAGGCTAAAGCCCAAATGATATTCAGTCCTATGGGGGAGACACAGCTAGCACTGAGCCCTTGCCCCCTCTCCTCTGTGTGCTGTGTGTTTCCTATGCCTTTAATCAGGGAATGCAGAATAGTTTTATATTGTTCTGGATTACCTGATCATAGTCACATTAGTCTGTGTCAATGATCAAGTAATACAGACATATAGCATGTATACAGCCTCATCAGAGTATTTTTCCTTTACCCTTCCTTCTCTCCTGCAAGGCTCTGTGTTTCAATGCTGGCTACATTACACCTCCCCCCTCCATCTGTCCTGCACAGCGCTGTATCAACAAAATGGCTTCAGACTCACAGGGAGATCCTGCGCCCAGCTCTGACATCACCCCTTCCTCTGATTTAGCTGGAAGCCACATGACTGAATGAACAGCACTGTAAGGAACTACAAATAAGTTGTATGTGATCTTAAACTGACCAAAATGTTAGATTTTGTTCAAGACAATTTACCAACTACTGTGGTGTAGGGTCTACATCAGCTCAACTGGGGTTCCATGAAATCCTAGGGTTCCTCCAGGTTGCTGGTGGCTCTTAAATGATAAGTTCACCTTTTGTAAAAAAAAACTAATAAATACAAATCTTTTTTGCAGGTTAAAATAAAATGTGTGGTTATTCTTTTTTCCTACAATGAGCCTGCAAAGCATTGCACCGGTGATCAGCAGATCGTTTGTGCAATGCAGGGTTCTTGCAGACCTGTCAGTGTATCTGTCTGCTTGTACCTAGCAGGCAGTTACAATCTAACAGGAAGACTCAAACGACTTAATTGACAACTACAAGCCGACAGCTGCAAAGGCTGTCTGTACTTGTTTCCCATTCACAGTTCTCTGTGAATGGGAAGCGAGCCGAAAAACGGGTGATTGGGGGCTGGTGCATCTGTGACATAATACACCCTGAATATGGGTGTAACATGTAACAGGTTCCGAAAGGTGAACTTATTCTTTAAGCTGTAGCCAAGTGACCTGTGATGTGTGATGGTGTCTACATGGTCCCAGGTCCAACTCCAGTTGGCAGAACATTTTAACTGTCTGTGAAGGTGGCAATTTGCCCATCATTGTAGGGAGGGCATTCTTCCCACTGACCACCAACGTTAGAGGTATTCTACCCACTGACTCCCAATTATGGGGCGGCACAGTGGCTTAGTGGTTAGCACGTCTGCCTTGCAGTCATGGGTTCGATTCCTGACCATGGCGCCTCCTGCATGGAGTTTGCATGTTCTCCCTGTGCTTGCGTGGGTTTCCTCCGGGTGCTCTGGTTTCCTCCCACACTCCAAAGACATGCTGGTAAGTTAATTGGATCCTGTCTAAATTGGCCCTAATAAGTGTATGTATGAATGTGAGTTAGGGACCTTAGATTGTATACCCCTTGAGGGTTAGGGACTGATGTGAATGTTCAATATATATATATATATATATATATATATATGTGTGTGTGTGTGTAAAGCGCTGCGTAAATTGACAGCGCTATAGAAGTACCTGAAATAAATAAATAAACTTATTTTAACATTTGTTCCATGAGACCTGGAAATTGCTTCAAGGGTTCCTCAGGGTAGAAAGAATGAGACAAGCTGGTCTACATACTAGTTGATATTTTACTTTTTTATTTGGCATACCAAAATCTGACTATTTAGATACTTTACTTTACATTTCAGCACTCAAGACACAAAGGCCGAGCATGTAAATTGCTTCTGTGATGCAGGTCTAGATCTGAATGTTGTTGGTGACACAGTTTAATGACACACTAGTGGTCAAATGAGGACAAGCTGAAACAACGTTTATCTGTAAATGCAGATTTTCCTATAACAATAATAAGAAATTAAAATAATATAACATTAATGAGGTTGTGAGGACCTGTGAAAGACAAAAAGTCAACATGACGAGGACAGAATTAACAGGGTTATTTGAGTTGAAAGGATATCTGGACCATGAATGTTTTTATAAGGGACTACAGATGTACATTTACAAACTTTGTACAGTGCTGGTTCTTTAAATGGTATACTGGATCACACTGAATTGGTACAGTTCCATGATATCTAGATGAAATATACAGGAATCAACATCTCTCACCGTTTCCTCCGTACAATTGTCACAGCCCCGGTATGTCCAGTTCATAGAAAACTGTTTAGTATCCATCTTATAACAAGAGTTGAAGTTGCAGGGTAGTCGTATGTCGGTTCCATTTAGAGCATAGACAACTGTAGGCACCGTGATCTCCATACTGGAAGCAGGAACTAGACATACAGATGCAAATAGGTTTATGCCACTAATGATTGTAAGTTTAAAGCATTATCACATAAAACAATAAATCCTATACAGGCTATGGGGTTTCTGCAAGTAAGGAATTTCTTGCTCCACCGGAAAATACATTTGCAGTCTGGTACTAAAGTATATTAAAAAAAAATATAAAAAATATGTTAAATGATTATTGCAATGATTTGCTTGGATAATTATCTGAATGAATTCTGAATTGAATTAACAGCATCTGAAAGGGTTGGTCAATGCAGAACTGGCATATTAGTTTTGCACACATCAATAGGGTAAAGTCCAACTCCAGAAAACTTAAAAATGATCCCTTGCACTTAGGCTACGCCAAAGTAAAAACAAACAGAGTGATGTGCTGAAATGGACATCACACCGCTTCCTACCAGACCTCACACTGACAGCTGCCCGCATGATAAAAAACTGTGCTTTACACCGTGGGTTAGTATGATGAATCAGCCCCCAGTGTTGTGTGTGTGTGTGTGATTGCAGCAGTCGACTACTACATATTTGCTATACAGTATGTAGCTGATGACATGGATACCAGTGTAACAACCATACACAATTAGCTGTGCATCAAGAACTGCAATCTGGGAAGAAGATACTCTGTATCAGTCCTTCTCAACCAGAGTTCCTCCTGAGGTTGCTAGGGATTCCTTAAAGCATTATTCAAGGCAATTTTTGTTGATATTAAAATAACAAACATATAATACTCACCTGAACATACTTATCTGAGGTCCCCTGCCAGCACTCTTGGACATACACATTGCTGCTCAACCTTGCCCCCCCACTGTCTCTTCACAGGATTTGATTGCCAGCAGCAGGAGTCATGGCTCCTGATGCTGCCTCTGTGTCTGTGAGGAGAGAGAGACAGACAGAGACAATTTTTAACATTTCTTCAGTTGCTTCCTGGTTTCTGGCCTAGGCTGAAATGACGTCATAGATCCGAGGAGTCTTCAGGAGGGGAGGAGTTTTCTCAGCTGAGCCTCATGCCTGAGCTAAGGGCAGCTCACTACATGAATAATCTGCCCTTACTCAAGATGGCCATGCTATCATTTAATATAGTTGGATAGAGCATGGGTTATTAAAAAACAATCTGCCCTGGGTGGTGCTAGATACGCCACATTCTTTATTATTTTATTTACAGCTCAGTGCTGGGCAGAAGATCCTTTCTAGCTTTAGATCAGTGAATATGGCTTAGCCTTATCTGTGAACCTTCATTCATGCAGGCACTTGTTAATGTCTTAAAGCCCATTCCAAGAAGATAAAAAATTATCCCTTGCAGCGGGGCTGCACCCACACGACAAAGCTTAATAGCTCATTTTGTCTGAGGAAGCAGAGAAACGGTATCACTTTTCTGCTCTTCCACTCCCCCAGCAGATGGCAATCCCCATGATGCAGCAGTGGACTGTATCTCAGTGCCCTCATTTCCAGAGCAGGGTTATGGATCCTGCTGTGGTGTTAATGACATCAGTGCACATACTGCAGGGACTGGTCTAGCTGCATAGGGAAGTAGAGGGTTGGGTAAATATCTCTCATGTTATTGACCCCTTAGACAAAAATTAGCAATTAACAGGCACAGCCGCAATGCAAGAAATAATTTTAGTTGCCCGGAGTTAGGCTTTAAAAACAAATTAATTCACGTACATGATCAGCAAAAGCTGTACTTTCAGATTGTTCCGGTTCCAAGTACTGCAAGTCTCATAGACCCCCCCAGTTCTGTAGTCACATCTATCTATCGCTCCGGACATCATCCTAAACTACCATGTTTGGGGCCATGCTTTGGCTGTGAATACCTACATCTTACACCCCTTCGTGTATTTACATGTTAAAGCTTCATGGCTACAGCCACTCATATGTATTTCCCCTTTTTCTTATTCTGCGTATCACATGGTCGTGTGAGTTTCCCTTGCTGTCGGCCTGTTCTCCCTCACCATCACATTTGGTAGTTAGCCTATGAGATCAGGAATATGATGCAGGGAATTGATAAGATCTGAGACATACATACTGATAAACCCACTTGGTGGATTTCCTAGGTCCTGAGGAAGCACGATACACCCCAAAATGCATCAACCTATGCTTTTCATCTTCAAGGAATGTACCATTTAAAATTCTCATATGATTTCTGATAGAACTGGCGTTAGATTCACGTACTATGTTTTTAAGAAATTATACACATTTTTAATTGTATAAATAAAGATGTTTTATTTTTAATGATTGATATCACTTATTTGTACAACCATTGGAGGTATATTCATATCAAGTCCCATTCATTATATTGTTGGTCTAGTATTTCACAAGTGGTAATACACCACTCCCCTATCTTGCTTAATAGTAGTCTCATCTATGAACCCCTCTTCTCCTGGCCAGTCACAAAGCAAATGGCCTCAGGTTCTGTTTTGTGATTGGCCAAGAGATGGAAGGGTTGGAGATGCAATTGCAGCCTGAGGCCTATGAGACTTGCAGTGCTTAAAAGTGGAGGAACTCTTCTTGGACCCTTGCTCTTGGTTTTGTTATCTTTTTTCTTTTCTAGTCCTCCTTCCTTTTTCTTTTTTCTTTTTTTTGTTAAAAATTAATAAAAACCATTGAAATACAAAAGTGGAGGAACTCAGGAAGTACAGCAGGGGCTGCGCTAATGAGGAATGTGAAAAAACTTGTTATTACAGTGGAAGAAAAGCCTAAAGCCAGTCATTGATGGACCAAATCTCGGCTTGTTCAGCGGGGACCAGCCGAGAATCGATCCATGTATGGGCAGGCTGGTTGTACTGAAGTCGATCCATTGATCGACTTCAATACAACCAGTCTGTTGGATTTTTTGCATGCAATTATTGCTGCCGACTATGGCCACCAGCAGTGATCATTGTGATCTGCAAGCCAGGAAGGTTATCCACCAGCAGAACACAATAGCACCCATGGGTACTGGAAAGAAAATTGCATTATCTATGGCTTGCATAATGCTAACTACTCTTAAACATTCCCTCCCCCCTACCTATCCTGCATACCCTCTGTAATAAAGATCTTTATACTTACCTTCTTTAATCCACTTTGGTCCTGTGATCCTGCAGCTCTGGCTCACCTGTATAAGTTAGCAGCTGCTGCAGGGGAGCGGAAAGAACACCCACATTGGCAGGGTCATGGGAACCTAGTAGGGTAGGTAGGAGGAGGGGAAGGGAACATTTTTAAGAATAGCCACTTTTCTCCACTTTAAAGAGGATCTTCAGTGTCCCCACCAAAAATCAAAAGTCAGCAGCTACAAATACTGTAGCTGCTGACTATTAATATAAGGACAGTTACTTGTCCAGGGGTTCCAGCGCCATCCTAACCCAAACTGGTTCTTCACCTGTCTTCAGTTTCCCTTTGCCAGCATGTTTCCTAATGGAAGCAGGCTGTGACTTCTAGTGGATTCACAGCCAGCTTCCTGCTTCGCATGCACTTTGTGAATAGTCCTACAGCTTTTTGGGACCTGTGACATGTCCCAGAAAGCTGCAGGCAATGAGTGGGGAGCCAAACTTTCAGATTGCCTACCAGAGGTACCCACTCCTACCCCCAAAAAAGTGTGCCCAGAAGTGTTAGAGAGGAGGGGGGGGGAGGGCGGTGGAAAAGTGGAACGTCCCCTTTTGGGTGAAGTTCTGCTTTAGGATACTGAAGCAAGCCTGCATGAATGTAGGCTTGCAGTTGAGGCAAAGGCATATTTTTTTTTTGTATCAAATAATTCTAAATTTTTATTGAAAGTTTTTACTTTACATATACATACATATATTCCATACATACAAATAACATAACATACCCCTTCCCCTTTCCCACACATACATTGGTGTTTTTTACTATTATAACTCATTCTATATTTGTTGGAGGGTCTGATGCCAGCCATCTCTGTGCAAAATGCTTCCCAGCCTGAAATAAACACATAAGCACCACGATTTGTGTATTATATGAAAAGGTACTCTCATCCAAATAGCCCAATATTCATAACTTAGGATCCAGTCCAATGGACACCCCAAACACAGAATTTATGCTATCAAGAATATCTACCAATACCTATTCAGTTTGGGGCATCTCCAGACCATATGGATGAGGTCACCATTCGGATCCTCACATCGCAGGCATGCAACATCTGGACGTCTTCCAAATGTTAATCTTTTTGGGAATGGTAAGTTCTATGTAATAAAAATAAATGTGAAATCCTCTGTAACGGGGACATGCATACCAATGGTATTGCTCCCAATATATATTTCCACTCCTCTTCTGTAATACTCCCTATATCCTTTACCCATCTTTTGGGTGAAGTTCTGCTTTAGGATACTTAAGCAAGCCTGTATTAATGTAGCTTTGCAGTTGAGGCTAAGGGGGAGGAGGCGGAAAAGTGGAAAGTCCCCTTTTGGGTTACGTTCTGCTTTAGGATACTGAAGCAAGCCTGCATAAATGTAGGTTTGCAGTTGAGGCTTAGGCATACTTACTGATCCAAAGCTGGAAAGGATCTGGGGCTTTGAACCGTGCAACAACTTATTGATCACGCTAATGTACCATGAGCTGTAGGTATATTCATTTTTAGCTGGGGTTTCCGGAAACTGGAAAATTTATTTCAAGGTTTCTTCCAAGGTAAAAAGGTTTAGAAAGGCTGCTCTATATCGATATGGTGAATGCTTTGGCTACTATATATTCAGATTTGAATGTCATTTCATGTCTTGGTTGGAGCAGTGGCACTGTATGTGAGAGTAGAGTGCAGTATGCAGATAGCAAAGGAAATAGGGGGGGGGGAGTACTTGTAGAGCCGGAAAGACTCTCATGGGCTGCCCTATGTTCGTTTGTCTCCTAAAAAGCTCATGATCCTTTTCGGGCGACAAGCATGGCTAGGGTTGCCACCTCATACCTTTAAACTCATACATTCACACATAGTAATTACACAGGTTCTGGGACTAATTTAATGCAGATAAGGCACTAAGTGAGTTTAATTGCCACCTTAATTAGCCAC